ACGTAGCTTACGGTGAACATATGGGAGTCATACGTATAATTGGATATGAGGAGCACAGCTTGTACCAGTACCAAACGTCCCACCAATCGATGTATCTCACGCAGAGAACTGGTTATGTTATGATTGGTGTTCTTGATGCTTCTAATTAGCAGCCTGCTGCCCACTTGATTTGTGGGTCCGGTCGTTGACGCAGCGCTCGACGGCTAGGCGTCTATCCACCTCTCTTGCTTTCGACCTTCATCTTGAACTAGTCTCAGTGAGTCAAAGCTTCGATGCTGAGAATTGACTGAAGATGTATGTTATGGCATGGTACGATAGGTTGATGCGGGCTTGACTGCACATGCAGATCGATAGCGCCGCAAAGCTTCAGCCAAGTGCGAATGCCGAGATCACGGACGGCCGCAGTACCACCCGTATGATGATAGGGAGTACAACGCCGGACGCAAACCACAGCTTTCAGTTATACGACCTCCGAGTCGAAGTGATTTGCCCATCAGGAAAGCGCATCATGTGCGGAGCCAAAGCCGGTGATCACTTTACAATGGAAGGGGAGATGCTCAGGCTCCCGCCTGGACAAGGCTTCTCCATATACTCACTAGGTAGGTCAGCCGATGTTCTCAAAACCCGTAGATCTTTATGCCGACATGATGTTCTCATCAATGGTTGTACAAGGCGCCGTGCTTCCTCTACTTGCGGCCAAGCAACGCGTCTCGTCTCCTTACGATTGGATGTCCACCGACAGTGACGTCGCGTGTCCAGATCCGAATTGCCCAAGCAAACTGCGAATATCACGGACGGGCCTCCGGACATTCAGAAGGGGCGACACGACAGTCACCCCTCTGCCTACGACTGCTGCACCGAGTCCGAATGGCAGGGAACTCTCACAGAGTCTGTCTGCGTCAGATGAAGCATCCATGATGGCGGAATCGGACGACCCGACACAGGCAGATCCGGCATCACCATTGTTCACTGATGTTGACACGGAAGACGTTACACCGGCAGAGGAAACATTGCCAGAGGAGATCGGCGCTACTGCAGAGGAACTGCACGACCTCCGAGGCCAAGCAGATGACAGTTGTAATATCATGCTCGACCTCCTCAGAGCTGATTGGGGGTGATGGAGGTGGCATCGTCCCGTACCGTGCCCCGGCGCCGCACGCCTTTCTCCGGACTGAAACATCTCGCAGGCTTCTGATCACGGCAACGTCGCCTTTACTTAGTTCTCATTGACTGCTCTCTACGTATTGCTGCGGCGAGTTCTACAATCTATCCTCATGCGTCCAGGTCACCCTGAACCGTAATCCCTTCGAGTGCGCTATCGCATCCCTTCCAACTCCCCACGTTGTACCTATGGTTTACACCCTTCAGGGCCGGCACACACGCGGCACTCCCACATCCCCCGGTCCCGGACATCGGAACTAAATAGATGACCTCCTTGACACGCGAATGCAGCAGTGCCATGCTGCACATAATACATGGCTCGTGCGTCGTGAACAGTGTGAGAGAAGTGAGCAGGTAGTGGGCGCCGTTCCGAGGCGCCTGCGCTTCCATTGGCACGGGTGTCGAGGGGCGGGTTGCATTGGGGAGAAGAATGGATGCAGAGGATTCCGATGGGGGTGGAGAAGGCGTAGGGGGTATCGGAGTGGAGGACGAAGCGCGATAGTCAGCGATGGAGCGGATGGTATTGAGGACAGCGTGGCGGAGGGGATGGTTGGTAGAAGTCCTGGTATCATGGCCCAGGAAAGGAACCGGTAGCTGTGCTGCGTACGCAGCTTCCTCCTCATATGGAACCGGTACATATGCTGCGATCGGTAGCTGCAAGTCCCGAGATAAGCGAAGAAGCTCCCTCCAGCCATTCTAGATCCGCGTACCTCGCCCTGCCGCCCTTTCTCCTGCGCTTCCTGCACGACTCGTTTCATGGCTTCACAAGCCCAGAGCATCCTGCCTCGCGTCCATTCTTCGACTTCGCCCTTCCGCCTCGGCGCATATGTGGTCGGCCAAAATGTGTTCTTATGCTTCAGCGAGACCTGCGTCAGGGCAACCGTGCAGGGTACTTCTACGGTGTACGGTTCCGACAATCCGGGGATGTCGGGTAGCGTAGGGACTTGCGGGCACTCTGACGTGAGCGCGAGGAGGATGGTCAGTTTGCTGTCTTGCTTCCGGATCCTCTTCAGGTGCGACATCGTGGGAGTCTCGAGTCCGCTCTTCTTCAGCCAGCTATTTACGGATGAGAAACAGGCTGTTATATGAAGGCCGAAGTAACGTACCTCAGCAGGGTCGCCGTATGCCGAGCATCTGGTACATCGGCAACCCATGCCGGCTCTGTATACAGGACATGAGTCGATAAGACGACGCTTCCCGGAAGGAACACTGACGCGTAATGACGGCACTGAGCTCATCTTCTTCGTCATCGCGCACTAGCTTGATACGTGTGAATGGTAGCTCGTCTTCCGCGATGACACTTTGCGGGTTGCCATCAGCGTACTGCAGAATTTGTCTGTCCAGTGGTGATATTTCGGTTTGGTCATGCTCGATGCCGGCGAGTCCTCCCCACCCGTCATCAGGGTCTTCGGCCGGCGGTTCGGTCGGTGCTGCATCCACTGTATCGAACCACAGTTTGTGCCCGTAGAATATACAGAGTTCGTCGCCTTCTTGTATCCGGCGAGTAGTCGTGTATCGTATGGATTCTGTTTCAGTGTCCAGTGTATACGATACGTTGGGCTGTTGCGAGTGATTGAAGAGTGATCCTGGAATTGGCAAGCGTCAATATGATCAGACGTTCGAGGCCTTCAATCTTACACGGACCTAATCCAAGGGCTAGAGCCATGCGACCATCTCTCCACCTAAATGTGTAGTGGTCCAACAGGGTGTGGCGGCTATGCTCTTCGTACTCCGCTTTGGAGAAGAGGAGCACGGGACTGATCTCGACGACCGTGCGGGGCTCGAGGGTCCGAGCAGCTGAAGATACATATAGGCTCAGCACTGTCGGTTCAATTGCAATCAATCAAGGAGGTAATCCTACCGTACACGCCTCTGCCCTTTCCGGAAGAATGACCGATGCGAAGGCCACTGCTATTGAGATGCTCTGGAGCCCGAGAATGCACGGCAGTATCTTTGTTCCATTCTACACGACTCCCTGCCATCCCTTGTGAGTTCAGCTTATATTCAGACAGCACACAGAGTGAGTTTTGCTTGAACAGCGTTGTGCAGTAGAGCAGGACATGGTAGATGCATACGAGTCAATCACGAAGTTGAAGTTTGTTGTGTGCGCCACTAATCACGTCCACGATCCCGATCTGGCCAGATCTGATCGATTCAACACGAGGCTACTGTACGCTCGCCACAAGCGCTCGTGGCACACGCCGCCGGAGATACAGGCACCTTGGGACCATCGTCATCTGACTTGTGCCTACCCCACATTATAAATGCTTGAAACATAGTGCTTATTCGGAAGCATGCATTAATACAACAATGAGATGAAAGCCGGATCGATGACCCTCGATTGCCATGGGAATTTAGTAGGCACCATGGCTTGGCACTGGCAAATTAGAAAGCGACATAGAAGCTCAGAACTTCACCTTCCTTTCGTTGTCTGTCCTTCTTCCCAAGCCGTTGCGTTACACCTAGTTTCCTTGGCTTTCTCGTCTCAGCGCCTCCCTTGCGCAACTCAATCCGCTTCTTCCGATCTTCCAGCATCGTGAAGATCTCGTCACCTTTTCCTCTCGGATATCGTTCGTCCTGCCAATCAAAGACCAGACGTAGCCCTGGCTTCTCTTGTTCAGATGAACGTTGTGAGAGGCGACCCTCGTTTCTCGAGTCCACAACTCGGCGAGAAGCCGCAGTAGGAGGAATGGGTGCAGGTGGGGGCGTTGCATACATGTCGTCGATATTGTGGGTGTCGTACCGAACCGGAGCACGTACCGGCGCAGGTACGGCATACATGTCATCGATGTCATGCGTGTCTGCGCGATGCCTGCGTTGTTCCGGCTCGGCAGTCGCATACATGTCGTCGATATCGTGCGTGTCGTACCGACTGCGCGAACGCGTAGATTCGGGAGGAGGCGTGGCATACATATCGTCTATGTCGTGCGTGTCGCGCCCTTCCGACATGCTGGTCACCGAGGGGCGCGGCGTTGTCTCTCCGTCTGATTCTGACCCCTCGTCTCGGTGCTGGAGAACCTCGTCCAAGACAGGCGGGCCATGCAACTTTCCTGCTGCTCGGAGGCTGGATGAGATAGCGCGGAAATCTGGCATTTTCTCTTTCCCCTTCATTACGTATGGGATTCGTGGCGGACTTGGGCGGAGAGTCGGGGACGTCGCAATTTCCGGTAAAGGGGAGGCAGAAGGGGATGTCGACGGCGGTAGAGATGATGGATGTTGGAATGTGCCATCGGAGGCAGGCGTTGATAGACGCGACGATCCATGAAAGGACCGCGGTGCCATAACAGCACTCGGAGAACGTGAAGATGGAGGGGAAGGTGCTGATGAGGATGCTAAAAAAGAAATGGGCGAAGAACGCTCAGTCGGGGGATCGGGTGATACAGACTGTGAGTTGTGGTGCAGCGGCTGGGTCTTCTGGACAGCAGGTGGCTCAGCTGTAAGACGGACTGAGCACCAACACGACAACTTACGATCGCAGTTACATTTGGCGCTGAGGCAGCGGACCGCAGCTGGTCAGATCGCGCGACGTCCGCCTTTACAGAAGGTGTATGGGTTGCAGGAACGCTGACCTCGAGTCCGTGACGGACCGCGGCCTTCGTTGCTCGTTTCGTTTGCGGCGGATGCAGCAGGTCTATCTGTGGAGTTCCCCGGTGATGGGTCTCCGAGTGAGGCATTCGCGTCGCTTGTGTGTTGATAGTATTGTGCTCCTGACGGGCTTCTCTGAGGCCGGGTCGATCGGGCTGCGCGAAGTTGATGGGCCTTGCAGACTGAGTTGATAGTGACATCTGTGGGACAATCTGTGGGAGCAGTGGCGACTTCTCGACGGGACGCTTGGAGAAGGATGCAACCTCCACGACTTCTGCAGATGTCACAAGCGCACTAGATACCTCTTTTCTGGACGCCAATTGTTTCGAACATCGTTTACAGACCCAAGTGTCAAGTCCGTCTGCAGACTGGCCTTGTTCGTCGGCCTCGATACGACGCAGAATCTCTGCTTCGGAGATAGGTGGGATGTGGCATGCTGGGTGATGTTCAGTGAGCTAAGAGAGGACGGAGTGATGTTTGGCTCGAATGACTCACGGTGATGCCAAACGCGTTGACACTTGCAGCACTCGATAAGGAACTTGATGGGTGTATTCATAGTCTCTCCACATCGTACACATGCTTTTCGTGTGATCAAAGGTGCAGACATCCTGGAGCTACGAGCAAGGGATGATCGTAACGACACCGTTCGCACTGGGTAAGAAGCTGAGGCGCTGCGGGGACTTGCCTGCCAATGAACTTTGAGTGAACTTGCTGAATTGTCAATGTGTTGAGTGGAGCCGGTTTGAACGCCTATGGCTTACATAATGCACGCGCTCACGAGTGATCCTTTTGGGAGGTTATGACCTCAAGATCTGCCAAATTTAATCCCCGCTGTGGCTGGGGCGTGTCGCGCTGAGGCGGGGTACGTGACGAACGCTACTTGAAGGACGTCGTCTGCCATATCTCCTCCGACTATCTTGTCTCTCGTTTGACTGTGCTGTATGTTATTTCTCTGATACTTGCTGCATAACGATTGTCCCCTGCATCTTGACGGCCATCTTCGTGTGTAGCAGCAGCTGTCGTCGCGATGGCTAGCATCGCACGACCTCCGCACACCCTCGTCGACATCGTTCATGATGCCGTGGAACACCGTCTACAGGACCACGAGGCAGACCAGGACCTTCCAGAGCATCCTCTAACACCGCCTCTTGGCAACACTGACCAAGCCGAGCGGCTTGTGAATCCTGAAGCGGTCCAAGGCAACGAGAATGAGCAACCGCCGCCACATGAGCACGGCGAAGCAGACCCGACTGCGGTTTCGCAGGTCCAGGAGGCCTCTCGTCGAACGGACTCACCAGAAGAAGACGACGAACCCCCATCTCCGTTGATCTCGCGTGAGCAGGCCAAGCATAGGCGGCGGCGGTCGTCACTTTCCGGTGTTCGTCTGCCACCTCCCAACACCCCTTCTGGACGCACAGGTCCCCCTCGGTCGATCTCGCGGAGCTACTCACTCTCACAGCCCGGTGGCTTTGATTCACGTATCCACCAAAAGCGTGCGTCGGAGCCCCACGGACCGCCTGGGGAGGACGAGGACGAAGGTCCTGACCGCACTTGTGACTTTCGTACCACCATTCCTTTCCGGGATGCCATGCAGTACCAGGATCCGCATCAGCGCGAGCGCGAACGCCAGAGGGCTGAGAAAATGGCCAGAAGACGCGATAGCGCCGCTGGCCATGATATTTGGAACGCGATGAAGAAGCGGCTGGACACGCCGCGAGAGGAACAATCCCATTTTCGTTGGCTGGTTGAAGGCGGCGAGGAAGACAAGGAACAGCGTTCTGAGGTCAAGGACAAGGGCAGGGCAGAGGAAGGCGTGGAACCGGAGGCGAACGAGAAACATGACAAGGTCGGGAGCCCTACCGTGGACCCCAGCACACCGCAAGCGTCCGGCAGTCCGTCTAGCTATCACGCTCGGCATTCACGGTCTATGCCGCACATCCAGCGCAGCCAGTCTGAACAACATCCGAACGTCGCTCCGAAGTGGAATCGGCTGCGCTCCCTCATCCCACAGATTGCATCCCAGAACAAGAGCCATCAGCCGGCTCAGGCATCCGCGGTAGTCCCGCAGTCGGTGAACATTACCGACGAGCTGATCGCAGGGGGCTTGTCCGCGCTCGTCCTAAGACTATGGTTTGAACGCGACGAGCGAGACCATAGGCGCGTGCCCATCCTCTTCCACCGCTTGCGCATTCGCGTCAGTGATAGCTTGCACCCGCTTCACGGCAACAAGGCCGTCTTTCGCATCGAGTGCGAGTACGCGAACGGTGCCGTGCGATGGGTGGTGTATCGACAGCTGCGCGAGTTTTTGTCGCTTCATGCTCATTACGCCGTCTCGAACGCGTATTTCCGCAACGTGGACACACTGCCAGACTTTCCCATGATGAGTATGTGCAGCACAATCTTTCGTGTGGGTTCATGCTAACTGCAGGTGTAGGCCTACCCTACTTCAAGTTCTTGAAAGAGCGGGGGCGAGACGTCGGACGAGCTGACTTTGCACGCTTGCAACGTGAAGCGCTCGAGAACTACCTGATTGGCCTTATACGCGCAGTCGTCAGTTCGTTTGTATTGAAGAAACTTTCTAGCTGGACTGACGCCGCGTATAGATGTGGCACCCGTCTGCAAACCGTCTTGCAGGTTTCCTTGAAATTAGCTCCCTTATGGTGTCACTTGCGCAGTCGGGCGGCGCCCAGTACAAAGCAGGTATGCTACGAATCGAGGCCATAGGCAACAAGGGTAGTCTCGGGCGTCGAGCGACCTCCTGGCGTGAGCGGAAGACGCCGAAGTGGTGCTCAGTGCGGGACAGCTATCTAGTCGTGCATGAAGAGATCGGAGAGGTGCCGTGTTATTTAAATTGGTACACAGAACGCCGCTGATCTGTACGCGCCGCGCAGCTAACCGTTTGGGACGTCTTCTTGATCGACACCGAGTTCAAGATCGAGCGACCGACGCGATATTACCGACAGGGTCTGAACCTTCTCCAGCACTTCGAAGGCGATCATCCAGAAGAGGTGCAGCCAATAGGACACGAAGGCGCCATGGTCGAGCGCCCCGAGCCGCATCATCCACACACCTGGCACAAGATGGGCTCGATCAAAAGTCATATCGAGAAGGTCCTCCATATTCATCATCATAACCCTGAGAAGTCCCGGTCTGCGTCGAACGTCAACGAGAAACAGGCGAACGGGAACGGGGATGCCCATCATGGCGATGGCCATGCCGATACCGATCCAGGGCACCACAGACCGTCTGCGTCCACCGCTTGGAGATCGTCGACATCGTCCTCTTCGAGACCGGTAACACCCATGCTGGATCCGTCGACGAACACCAACCCATTGCTAGGACCAGAAGATCTCGATGAATACAAGCACGACGAGCAGGAGGTGAACAACAAGAAGCGGCTGAGGGCGAACGAGGTGTCGAAACATACCTTCTACGTCGAGAATTCTCAGATGCGACTCAAGCTCTATGCCAAGAACGAGGTACGTTATATAACGCGAGAGAATTGAAGACCTTGGATGACGACACATCCACAGCGTCAGATGCTTCAGTGGATCGCCGCGCTCGAGCGAGTTGCCAGGGATTGTCACTACACGGGCAAGAACAGATTCGACAGTTTTGCCCCCATTCGTCTCAATGTTGCAGCACAATGGCTGGTCGATGGCGTGAGTCCCCCGTACAATCAAATTATGTGACTGACTCATTGTGCCTCGTCAGCGTGACTACTTTTGGAACCTTTCTCGTGCTATACTGCTGGCGACGGAGAGTATCTACATTCATGATTGGTGGCTATCTCCCGGTGAGTATAAAAACAGCATTGCTCTACCGAATGTCAACCAACCTCATTATTCCAGAGCTTCAAATGCGTCGGCCCGGGATGCCTAAGTATCGCCTGGACAATCTCCTTGAACGTAAAGCGAAAGAAGGTGTCAAGATCTACATCATCCTCTAGTAGGTGCATCAACTCAGTTTCGAGGTGTAAATCTCATAATTGTCAACAGCCAAGAGGTGTCTAATAGGACTACACCGACCGACAGCAAGCAAGTGTATTGTGTTTCATACGAGCTAATACTTATTGATCATATGTTAAAGTTATACTAAGCAGAGGCTTACAGCGCTACACCCCAATATCATGGTCCAACGGTCGCCATCGCATTTTATGACGGGCACCTTCTATTGGGCGCATGTAAGTCTCCTGGATGGATTTCCGATCGGCGCCCTCATTGCATTCCTACCAGCACGAGAAGATGTGCGTGATAGATCAAGCCATAGCGTTTATGGGAGGCTTCGATCTGTGTTTCGGACGGTATGCACTTCGCGCCTGTGGTTATGCATTGCGCTCAACCTCTGGGCAGGTGGGACACGCCGCAACATGTTATCATCGACGATCCGGAGGGCACCCCAGACGCATCCGAACAGATCTGGCCTGGTATGACTCTATCGTGGATGCTGTATCGGGTGTTAAGTGTTCTACAGGAAAAGACT